AGGCCTGTTGTAATCTCCAAGTGTTCTGTCTCGAGCAGCTGCAGGTGCAGGTTCCCTCGCATTCTGATCTGCTGAGGCATTCCCATGATTTGGAACAATAACAGTAAATGTGCCGGTGGGATGATGTTTCCATCTCCATCAAGTCTTTGGCGCACACATGACCTTCTTGGTCTCTCCAGATTCCAGCATCATCACGAACAAGTCTGTTTGCGTTCTCTATCACTGCCAATTTCTTTGCTTTTCTGTTCGTTCGCTCTAACTCTGCTAGCTCCTTGTTGTTCAAATTCACTAGCGGGATGTCCTTGTTGCTTTGGGTTCCGCGAGTATGCATACACCTGAAACACAAAAGAAAAAGAGAGAACACAAAGTTAGCAAAATAAAATTAATAAAAACGAAAGGTGTCGCGTTGGTGTCGCTCTACACTAAGAAAATCTTAGTCGAAACTCAAAAACTAAAGTTTAATGGCGAAATCAAGTCCCCGACAATGGCGCCAAAACTTAATCTGCTCAAAGTTTAATCCCTAAGCTACTCTGCAAGAGCATAGATGTGCAGTTGTAATATTTCAGGTGTCGAACCACATACACAAGAAATTCACTCAATAAATCTTTTAGAATTGAATTACGCTAAGCAAGACAACGCAAATTAAAATAACAAAACAGTAGAAAAGCAGTAGAAATGTTTGTTCAACTCGAATGGATGGAAATTAGGCTTAGGGCGTTTCTCAGGAAATCAAAGAATGCAGATTTATCGATTTGTCAGGGTTCAGGTTTAAACACGGTTCTTGAACTCAAAATCAAGAAATTATAATTAACCAACTTCCGTTGTGAGAACTATCTAAGTCTAAATCCTAGAATTCCAAATTCCTTTGTAAACCCTAAGAATTTAAACCAGCTTTAATGCTCAAGTTCGATATGTTCACAAAGTATCCAAACCAAATTCCTTTGTGAATAGCTACTTTGCTCACCTTAGGTTCTTCCCATTTATTCAATTACACTTCTGTATCAATTAAGCAACCTAATGATCTAAGTTCTAGGTGATCAGTCCAGAATTAGCTTTAAGAACAACTTCTGGTGAAGAAATAAATGATTATGAATCCTAACTAAATCAGTCAATCAAACATCCAGAGAAAACCTTAATGAGAACCCTAAACTTAAAAAGCTAACTACTCAGACATGGATATTGAAAAACACACATGATTGAATAGATTGCCAAATAAGATGAATAAAATAGATAAAGGGGTTCGAATTCTTCTCTCTAAACGAACAGAGTTCAGACTTGTCTCTCCCAAGCTCTCAAAATCGCAAAAAGCGAGGCTAAAAACCTTATATATATCTTTAAAACACGTATTGAGCCTCTTTGGGAATATTTGGAGACTTCTGGGCCAACTCCTTCTTCAAAATTGGATAAAATCGCGTTCTCCTTATTTCCTTGACAAGCGTCAAGCGTCGCTCTCCATTATGTCGAGCGACACCAATGCACATGATTTGTCCTACGCGAATTTGATCCTTATTTAGCTCCCAAGTGCTCCAAAATCTCCAGATAAGTTCCAAACGTACCTAAGACCTAAAAAGACTCATAAAGACTCGAAAACACTAAAAAGACTTTATAAACAAGACTTATATCATGGTAAAAAGCCATAAAAACCATGATATATCAGATGCTCGGGTCGGTCTGTGTCCGTCTCCGCATTGTAACGCTTCCGGCTCAATCTAAGTAATGATTAGACTCGGGTCGGGAGTGTTACAAGTGTGCTCACTCTCTTACTGTCTCTTTCGGCAAATGTGTTCTCGTGGTAGATCTGGAGAGATGCAGAATCATATCAGCTTAGCTGTGTCGACTCTTGAAGAAGCGAAGGTCCCTACCATTATTCTTTTTTTTTGTCAACAACCTAAGTACCTAGAAAGGTTCGGTTAACTAAACTGGTGGCACCAAGTTTACATAGATGACTTCCTGAGGGTAGACACGAGCACTTCTTACTAAGTTGTCTGCCTTCGAGTATTTTGCGCGTGGGATATGTGAGAAAGTGAAAAAGGTAAACCTGTCCTACATCTTCACAATCTCCTCCAAGTTTAGAGCAAATGCTGGCCATTCTTCTGGTGCAGACACCATTTTCACCAACTCCGAACAATTTATTGCAAAAATCACTTCTAATTTTTGGTTCTCTAGAATACAATGCATAGCCCATATGAGAGCTTCCATTTCTGCATGCAGAGGCGATATACTTCTTCTAACATTTAGTGCTCCTATTATTTTTTCCCTTTCGCCTTCTTTAAAATAATACTATCCTAATCCTGCCAATATTTCCGTCTCTTTCCAAGAGCCATCAATATAACACAACCACTCTTCGAATGGCATAAGTAATGAGGATTCCATAGAACTTTCCGTATTTATATATGTGATTTGAGTTCCCTGAATCCTGTTCCAGCCTTTGAGCCTCTTCCCATAATGCCGCTTCAGTCTCCGCTATTTTTAAAGTAATTTGTGGTCAACATTAAGGTTCGAATACACTTTCTCATTTCGTGCCTTTCAAATATACTATACAATCCATGAAAATTGTATGTTTTTTTATGTTCTTTGGTATTCTCCAATAATGATGATCAAAATTTGAATAAACCGAAGTCATTGAAAAAACACATGGGGGTGTTGGTATCCGGGATAGTGCCTAAGATTGCAAGGCAGGTGGACATTCAAAAAGAACATGATTTATTGTTTCTTCCTTAGCTCCACATCGTGCATATTGTATGTCACATTGTATTCCTCGCATATGCAGTCTAGCCGGCACAGAGAGGTATCTCGATATTGCTTGCCGTATAAAATGTCTTAACTTAGGTGAGCATTTCAATCTACAAGTATGTGCTTGTAGCACCTTTATATTTGGTCCATAGTTTTCCTCTGAGCCCCCATATGATAGTACTCTTTCAGTTTTATACCCTGATTTTACTGTGTATTTTCCAGATTTTGTGAAATGCCAACCCAAATGATCAGGCTTATAGGTAGTGCTGGTAGGGATTATTTCCACATCAGCTGGTTCAATAATTACCCTATCAAATCCAAGTTCCATGTTTTTGTCACTGGATCAATCAAATGATTGACCATTAGATCCAGGTAGTAATTAAAACCCTTATAAGTTGATGATCTTAGGCGAGAAGAAGATATCCAGAGATAGAACACTCCAAACCAACTCTTTTAATTATCCCCTTATTAACCAGAGATCCAGTCGAAATTATGCTCCGCCATCCATACGACGGTGAGTAAGAACGTACCGGATCCAAAGGACTTGCGTTCTGAAAGTATCGTCCCTTCAAAACCCGTGCAAACAATGAGTCAGGTTTATCTATCAGTCGCCATAACTGTTTCGCCAATAACACCGTATTAAAATCCTCTAAATATTGGAACCAATTCCGCCTTCTATTTTATCATTGCGCATCTTTGTCCATGCCAGCCAATGCATATCTCGGTGATGACCATCTGAACTCCACCAATACTGTGCCACTTCACTAGTTAATTTTGATGTAGTATATTTAGGTAACCAAAAGCATGACATGACAAAAGTGGGCATTGCGGATGCTACCGACTTAATTAAAGTTTATTTTCCCCCTTTCGATAAGAATCTCAAGATAACTATTAATTCGAGTATGTTATCTGTCTGCGATAAAATTAAAAATCTTGGATTTGGCTTTACCCATACTTTCCGGGACACTAAGGTAAGATCTCGTTCCTCTCTCCCTCGTAATTCGTATAATTTGTTTGAGCTCATTTTGTATTTCAGGAACCGTGTGGCAAAACTGAACCGAGGACTAATCAAAATTGATTTGCTGGACCAAAACTCTTTCATACTGTCGTAATGTACTCAAAATCTTCTGACATTCCTCCTTGGTTGTTTTGCAAAAAAAAAAAAAAAAAAAAGACTATTTCTGCTGCTTCCATATCATTTAGATCAATTTTATAATTTGTGTTGCTACTCGTCCTATTATTATCATAAAACTTTCATATGAAAAAAAAATTAAAACTCTAATGAAAGTTCCATTATAGTTATTATATAGTTTTTACCACTCTTTTTGTACATAGTGTTATAATAGACATGAAAATAAAATGAAATATATATCGATATACTAAAATCAGTGAGATTAGATACTTCATTTTAATATAAACTTGCATAAAAATGACTTCAATAAATATAGTTAGTGAAAATTGAAAAACTAATAAAAATAAATATAGTATGAATCAAAATAATTATTGTTTATTTATTAAAATGAAATAATAATTGTTTAAATAGTCAAGAATACAAAAAAATAGTAATTTCAACCAAATTATAGATAAATATTTACAAAATAATATACATATTAATAAATGCAAGCCTGAAAAAAACATGTCAATAGTAATTTCACTTCTATTTTGGAGTGTACATGCTTAACATACATTTCTTTGTTATTTTGATATGCCATACAGTTCAATTTTTATGATCTGTCTTTTGTAACTAATTATTTACTATTAATCAAATATGAATGACAATAGATGAACATCTCGTCCGCTTTGCTTTTGATCCATCTGTAGACCGCCACTCCATTCACAACCGAAGAATTATTGGTTTGTGATATTCGTTCTGAGCAGCTTGTTAAGCTTTTAGAGCATCATCATAGCTTATTAAAGAGTTCGATCATTTTTTTGGTGTGTCAGAATGTTTGTTTTCACATACAGTAACAAATTATGAATGCAAGATTCAGTTTCACAACATTGATTTGATATGGATTTTAAAACGTTCAAATTCTCGAATGAAAATGAATATGAAAACAAAATATTGAAGAAAAAAAATCAATCAATCGATACAAACATTTATCTCCTCTCCTAAGCTACAAATGAGGAGATAAAGCATGTCACATTCTTTGTTTGTTGCCAAAAAAAAAAAAAAAAAAAACATTTATAGAGGAATTGGTTAGTCAAACATTTAATCTTGATTTGGTCACTATGCTCGGTTTGGCCGTTGGTTTAATGTCATCAGTGAATAACCAAATAAATAGTGGACGCTGACTCACAAACAGGCTCGTAGTTGGTTTCTCACCGCCGGATTACGATTTCTCTACCTCCGTCACCAAAATCTCCGACGATCGACTCTCACGAGATTAATCATCCTCCCAGGTAAACTCTTATTCCCTGTATACCCCGAGATTCAGACAAATTTACTCATTCAGAACCATATGTGATTCTATATTCTGTGCTCGAATTTGACTCATCTTGGAAGTGATGATATCGGAAATCAAATTTCTCGCATAAGCAGATCAGAGGATAGTGGCATCGTTTTTAGATCAGTTTTGAGGGTTGGTCTTCGATTCAGTTATTGATTCATTGACTCAAAAATCATCTTTTTGTGGTTTCTTTGTAGAAATCAGCGATTTCCTTATTATAAGATCCTACAAAGTCAGGTTTTTTTTTGTCTCTTACACAATGTAAAATCCATGACTCAGTTCATATTGTTGGTGACTCTGCTTCTCTTATAACTCTGTTTTCTTCAGGTGCTTTGGTCTTCCACTTTTGGTCAATGGACACAAGAGAGCAAGCAGAGGTTACAAAGATTGAAAGTGATGACATTTCATCGGTGGAGATCAAAGTGTTGTTATTCGCCAGAGCTCGTGAGTTAACGGGCGTGCCTGATCTAACACTGAAGATGCCATCAGGTAGCACAACAAAGAAATGTATGGACGAGTTGGTGATTAAGTTTCCAAGGTTAGAGGAGGTTCGTGGCTGCGTGGTTCTTGCTTTGAACGAGGAATATACAACTGATTCCGCCATTGTTCAACACAGAGATGAGTTGGCCATTATACCTCCAATAAGTGGCGGTTAAATGCAATTGCAAATGTAAATCCTGCTATTGCCAATAATCTATATTGTAACAGTTAAAGATTTGAAAACTTGTTCTACAGAATACAACACAGAGACTATCTGTCTTTTAAGGGGAAATAAGTTACATCAGTTCTACTGAACTTCCAGTTTGATGTGTTCTTTTCTTTCCATGGGTCTTTGCAATGATGACTTCGTCTTCTCGATCTCCTTCTTTTTTTTTGGGATGAATCATGAGATCAATCATCATTAATCATTACACCAAAAAAGCAGGGAAGTGTGATCAGTGATCACTAGTTCAGTAGCGACGTGGTCGTGAATGGTTGATATCTAAGGCAGAACCTAGAACCCTTCTACTGTACTCCAAACTGGCTCCATTCGAGTGCGTAGATACTCCTGGCGGAGGCGGCTCTGCAGAAAAGGCAAACAGCAGAAAATGGAACAAAAGTACATTAAGTCTCGTACTTTGAAAGACGAATTTGACTGACCGAAAGGTTCCTCTTTCCAAAAGAGGATGTATTGATTCGTAATCTATGCTAAATTAAGTAAAGCAGCACGTTAATTCCCACAAATCAACAGCCAAACTATCGTCACATTGATAAAGAGATCTAGATAAGAAGTCTCATACTTCAGAAAAAAATTTAGATTGAGCACAAGGTTCCTTATTTCCATAAGAAGATGTATTGATTTCGTAATCTATTGCAGAATTTAGCAAAGAAGCAGCTTAATTCCAACAAGACACCAGCCAAACTAATGTTACATAGAGACAAACATCTAGATAATAAGTCTCATACTTCAAAAAACGATTTAGATTGAGCACAAGGTTCCTTTTTTCCATAAGAAGATGTACCAAATTTCATAATCTATACTGAATTTAGCAAAGAAGCAGCTTAATTCCAACAAGTCAGCAGCCAAACTAATGTTACATTGAGACAGACATCTCGATAATAAGTCTCATACTTCAAAAGACGATTTAGATTGAGCACAAGGTTCCTTTGTTCCATAAGAAGATGTATTGATTTCGTAATTAATTGCCGAATTTAGCAAAGAAGCAGCTTAATTCCCAAAAACCAGCAGCCAAACTAATGTTTCTAGATAATAATTCACATACTTCGAAAGACGAATTAAACTAACCGAAAGTGTTCCCTTTTTCATAAGAAAATACAATGATTTTGTAAACTATGCTGAATTAAGAAAAGAAGCAGCTTCTTTCTCACACATCAGCCGCCAAACTAATGCTAAATTGAGATAGAGATCTAGATAATAAGTCACATACTTCGAAAGTCGATTTAGACTGACCTGAAAGGTTCCTATTTTCATGAGAAAGATGTATTGATTTCGTAATCTATGCAGAATTAATCAGCAGACAAAATAATGCTGTATTCAGACAGACATCTAGATAATAAGTCTCATGCTTCAAAAGACGGTTTAGATTGAGCAAAAGGTTCCTTTTTTTAATAAGAATATGTATTGACTTCATAATCTATGCTGAATTTAGCACAGAAGTACGTTAATGCCCACAAATCAGCAAAACTAATGCTACATTGAGAAATTACTTGTGACAATGCTTTAAGCTTCTCGTATCTATTTGTTTACTCCATTAATCAAAGAGGGATTAAGAACAGAGAGCAAAAACCTTGATAGTAATCCAGAGGCAGAGGAGAAGGTGGAGAAACCAATTGTGACAATAATCTCTCCGAATGGTAATGAGCTCTGTCCGAATGCTCGAATGACAGTGACTGAGGTCTTATCCTGTGTCCAGAATTAGACGATGATTTGTCCTGTCCAGATATCTAAAACCCTCCAAGCAAAATCAGCACCACAAAAAAAAAAATCAAAGATTTAACATCAATTATCCAGAGATAAAGGAGACTCACAGCGAATTTCAGAGTTCTATTGTAAAGAGAAACAAGACCGGAGAAGAGCTTGACGGCGTAATCGGCGATCTCTTCAGTCTCATACTCGGCGAATGCAAAGCCTTTTGGTTTATCTGTTTCTTTGTCTCGAGGAATGTGTAGATCGATAACTCTTCCAGCTTGAATCAATATATCATACAAAACCCTTTCGCTTACTCTCTCGTCTACGTTACCTGATTTGAAAAAAAAAAATCAATTTTGAAAATCTGAATCAAAATTTTATCCGCAGTTTCGTCGAATTTTTCAGATCAATGGAAAATGTTTTGAAGCAAAACTTACCTACGTAGACGGTGCAATTGGAGTTCCCGGACATGGAAGCTACTTCGTGAATCAGAACAGTGGAAACCCTAGAGTGTGAAGATGAAAGAGATGAAGAAGCGTAGTTTCCGTGAATAATTAGTCTTAGAGAAGGACAAGAAACAGAAGAAGAATAAGGAAGCTTCAAGAGGGGCCGAATGTAATTACGAAACTTTGAGTAAAATGGATTTCGGTTAGGTATTTAGTCCAAGCTTTATGCGGCGGAAGGATTTCAGAAAATGTAAAACAAAACTAAATGTAATAAACCGAAGTAAATTAGAACAGTGGTTTAAGACATATTAAATCGAAATAAACTTAACTTATAAACATTGTTCAAAAATATTTAAATATATGTATGAAACTCACAACTAAAATTGAAGTAAGATAAACAAAAATTCTTTTATCATCCTATTTTCTTTATCCTCTTATTTATATTTTGAATTTTTTTATTTTATCGTCTTTTTCTTATCTTTTTCATCTTTTTCCACGTCTATCTCTATTAATTCTCTTATTTAGTATCTTCTAATTTTTTTATTTATATATTCTTATTCTTCTTTTCCTCATCTTTTCTTTCGTATTCATCATCATCTTCAAATTTTATATCTTCTTCCTCTTATACATCTTTCGATTATTGTTTCTATTATATATTTTTTTCAGCTTCATCATCGTTTTTGACTTCTACTTCCCATTTCTCTTTCTTTGGATGTTTCTTCTTTTTTTGCATCTTCTTCTTCATCATCATTTTCATCTTCTCCGACTTTTATTATTCTCTTTTTTCTTCTTCTTTATTTTCCTTCTTTATCACATCTGTCTTCTTTGTTCCCTCCGACTTCCTATTCTTCTAGTTTTTCTTCATCTTTACATTCTTCTATTATTTTACTCATCCTCTTCTCCAAATTCTCCACCTTTTCATATTTTAAGGTCATCTTTTAAATTTCTTCTCTTCCATATATTTCCTTCTTCTACTTCGATTTCTATTTTTTGGTTTTTTTTTCTCCTTATTCTCTGACTTCTTATTTCTCTTCTCGCGATTATTCTTCATTATCCAAATTTTCATCATAATTAATTTTCTTCGTCTTATCCATCTTCTTTTCCTTTTTGGTTTAATATTCTTTCTTAGTCTTTTCCTCGTATTTGGACTTCTTCTTCATCGTCTTTGTCTTCAACTTATTCTTTTTTATATCGTCTACACCTTTTCAGACTTCTTATTCATCGTCTCTTTAATCATCTTCACATTCTTCTACTTTGTCTTCTTCATCTTCTGGGTTTCTGTTTTTTTTTTGTTTATTTTTTTTCTTCCACGTATTTTTCATCTTCCAATTCGTCATGTAAGGGTTTTCTTCTCCAAATTTTCATCATATATTAAATTTCTTCGTCTTATCCATCTTCTTTTCCTCTTTGGTTTGATATTTTCTCTTTCTTAGTCTTTTCCTCGTATTTTAGACTTCTTCTTCATCGTCTTTGTCTTCAACTTATTCTTTTTTTTTATCGTCTACACCTTTTCAGACTTCTTATTCATCGTCTCTTTAATCATCTTCACCTTCTTCTACTTTGTCTTCTTCATCTTGGGTTTCTCTTTTTTTCTTTTTTTTTCTTCCACGTATTTTCTGTCTTCCACTTCGTCATGTAAGGGTTTTCTTCTCCCACTTCTTCTTCTGTTTTTTTTCCTTTTCGAAATTCATCCCTTCATTCTTCTTTGTTCACCGTCTTCGTCTTATCCTCCTTTTTTCATTGTTTTCTTCTCCCTCTTCTTTATCTTTTAGTTTTTCATATTCTTCATCTTTTCATTGTTGTCCTCCATTGTTTTCAACTCCTACTTCTTTTTCTTTATCGTCTTTGTTTTTAATTTGATTGGTTAGATTATATATATGATATATATATAATTTTAAGAGTATGTGTATCTCATTAGGTTATATTTTTGCCTTTTTTATTCGTCAACTACCAATTTAGATATGTTTATTTACAAGTTTCGAAGATCTTCTCTGATTTTCCTTTATCATTTCTGGTATTCGGTTTTTTTTGTATATAGAGAAAAAGTTGAGGAAATATTATATCGTTATTATACTCTGAAAGTGATAAGTTTGCATAACTTTATACATAAATCGATGTGTGTGCTCATTGGTATATTCGCATTGATATTCTCATTGTGTTATTAAAAAGAAAAATGAAAAAGAACAATGAAAAAGACTATCAGTTAGATTTTTTATCTAGCAAGTAAGAAGACTATGAACAAAAATGAGAACAAGGGAAAAAGAATAATCACAAAGATCATGCAAAAAGTTAAGATAATCATTATGTGAATGAATAAGAAATCTGAAACAACCTTTATTATTTTAAATCAAGTGAAAAAACAAAAGGAAGAAATCTTTGCAGCGTTGTGCATCACATCATATATTCAACTCCTTTAGCACATGCAGATTAGAACAAAAGGAGGAAATATTTACCAACATTCTTGCAAGCTCTCAGATCAAATCTTTCGAGATTTTTAGCATTTGATTTTGAAAATATGGAAGAATTCTTTCAAATGCTATCAACTTACAAAGACATATCTTCTTGAGCTTTGTAAGGATCTGAATGTAATACCAGATGGTAGAGGAAGAACATCAGAACATAGAGAAAAATGTGTATAAATAAATATAACTAAAGTTGGATTCTCAAGATGAATTCTATTACTAATAGGGTCTTTGTAATTAAAGAAGACTCCAATGTTGGAGAAATAGAGCTTGATCTCTAAGCTATCACACGTAAATCTAAGTACTCCCTTGATATATTCAAGACTATCTTCTAGTTTATGCATTACAATTTCTCTTCATCCTCATGCTTTCCCCGCAAAGATAGTCTAGGACGCAGAGACTCAGTGGAAGATTACCACAAATCTCTGTGTCACTCTTGTTGCAAGCTCTAAAAGGCTCATCAGGTGGGAGCTTTGTCTAAAACATATCTACAAAAATATTGTAAGAGCTCTTTCTCTGGATGGAAAATCCACATGGATGTTTGGTCCATGAAAGCTCGGGAAGACGCATCATCTCCAAGTTTTTAATTTAAAGAAGCCAAGGAAGAAGTTTGAAGATGACAAATGTGTTTGGATAAAGCTATAAAGGAAATAGTATCATTCAAATCAATTACTCAATATTTATGATTTCTCCTATCTATCCCTATGTTTTCTCCTATCATTACTACTCTAAACTGAGAGCAATAACATATTCTTCCAATTCTAAATCTCTCATCAGTCATCATGTTATTAAAATATCTATGAATGGAAAAAAATAGTAAAGGCTTTTTGCTTTTTAAGATTTGACTTTTAAAGAGACTCATGTAAGCATTGCTTTTTAGGCTTAGTATCTATTTACGTACAAAGAAATGAATAAGAAATATAAACTTTTTAACTTTTTCCTAAAAGGTTAAGAAAACTTTCTGCCCATAGACTTCTATGTATTGTTCTTAACCAAATTTTGTTGTTAATCTTATAAGAATATAGAATCGTGCACAATTCTGAAACAACTTTTATTATTTTATATGAAGTGAAAAACAAAGAACGCAAAAACCTTAATAAAACATAAAAAGTGAACTAATATAATATATGGTTCAAAATATCTCAAACACCAAATAAGATGGGTATTCAAGCATTGTCGGAGGGATACATTAGATGATAAATGGAGTTCCAAACATGTCCATGATTCACCAACAACTCATTTCGTACCAGAACACAGCAAACATTACACGCAAACCATAAGAAGAAGACCACTCACTCGCTTCAAAAAACGCAGCAATATACTCATTATAATTATCAGAAATCAATCCATAGTATAACATGCACCCTTGAATGTTAAAAATTTACGAAGAGCAAATCCGTAATTTAGGCAATCGATGAAGATAAACCAGACCCGGTTGCAAAATTGGTATGACAATTGCAAAATTATTAGTTGAACTTAATTTGAACCAATTTAACTGATTTTTTAATCTATGAAGATAAATCAGACCCGTCTACAAAATCGGTATGACAATGGCAAAATTATTAGCTAAACTTCATTTGAACCAATTTAATCAATTTTTAAATCGATGAAGATAAACCATATCCGTCTACAAAATCAGTATAAAAATTGCAAAATTATTAGCTAAACTTAATTTGAACCAATTTAACCAATTTTTTAATGAGGAGCAAATGGTAATTAGCCACCATAAGATTGAATGAGAGGACTTAGAACTCAAAATTCACTTTGCTTTTAAGATATATGATATTATATTTTTTGAAAACTAATCCTTTTTCAAACAATTTTGAAAACTGTTATAAAATATAACATATATATATGGTGAGATTTGTGTTTTGTACATATATTATATTATATAATAAGAGAGAGGAGAGAGAGAAAAGATAGGAGTCTAGCGAATATTGTTTCTCTTATTCTTATGTTTTTTACGTCCATTTACATTACAAAGGGAGAGTTACATATATATAGAGAAGAAAAATATAAAATATTTGAAGCAGGGAAGCGGTGAAAAAACTGAGGCAGTGAATGCGTGAATAGATAATTATCCATGCACAAAAATCCATGAACGTCCATCAATTTTTCACTACTTCAAATATTTTGTTCGTTAATATTCATGCATTATTTAATCAGATTTTATATCATCTTGTTATTTTGAAGTGATGATCAATTTTTATATTCATGTTTTTCTGCAAGATCACTTCAAAAGATGGTGACCAATATCTGAATCTGCGCATTATGGAATTGAACAACCTAATTACAGTTTATTTTAAGAAGCTTAATTATGAAAATGGTGATATTCAATGAAAATTGGAATTTGACGAAAGGGGTTATTCATCTACAACAAAGTTGCAAAAACAGAAGTCATTTAGTATGTATATTTCTTTTAAAAAATATGTTAAAATACAATGTACTCTTCTTATATAATACAGATTTTAGAATAACGTATTGTTTTGTAGAAACGCGAACTTGAGTTTGCAAAATAATACAGATCATACTATATTGTTGTGTACTGAAGAGAGTATAGAGAACAAAAATCTGAAGTATGCTTATGATTTTGCCAAGATGACTAACGTTTTGATGGAGAAAGATGGACATCAAAATCAGCAAACATATAGAAAAGTTGTATCTACAGAATTATCGGTGGATATTGTGGATAAAAAAATATCATGAGCGATACGTCAATGTTTCAGATCAAATACGGGAACGGGATAAGACTCAGATGTGATTGACCGCTCTTCACTCAAACAAGTAACCAAGATGATGTGCCTTCGAAGCTTTCTCAATCTGAACAATGCGAGAGGGTTTTGTTTGTTGCTTTTCGGTTTTTCGTCGATGCACGGTGGGACATGTATGATCAGGAGGTCAGGGTTTTTGTGGTGTAATTAAATTCGAGAGACTTGTTTTGTGAATTGGATAAACATTATTTCCTTTTTTACTAATAGAAGTTTTTTTCGTTATCAAAATAACTTTTCTTTCTTTTAAAAAAAACATAACCAGATAAACAAGATAAACCTAACAAACTGAAAAACCAATGGAAACAATTAGAAGAAGGTTCTAAAAAAAGACCTAACAAAAGAGTTATCATGGAGAATTTGTTAGGCCGTCATGATTAAATCATATAGATCATCATTCAATGTCTCTGGCAGCGGTGGCATAAGCTTCATCTGCTCCGGCACATTCTCGTTAGACTTGTTGATGAGTTTCATGATGTTTTTGCGGCATCTCTGCAAGAGCGGAAGATTATCTTTGAGCTTTGATGAGAACATGAGATTTGCAGAAATCTGTTCAAACAACTGCTCGTTTTCTTTAAAAAGCTTATTGGTGTCCGCATCTTGAGGAAGATCATCAAAGTTTGGATTCTCAGCTTGGTCGCTTCCTAATCCATTCACGATCCATCTGCAACACATAGCTACGTCTCTTATGGTTTTGTTAGGAAGCTCTTGGGAGATTCTCGCGTAACGTGAAACAGAGTCGTTTAACGAACATGTAGCAGCAAATAAATTCTCAAGAATTGTTTGTTCTTCATTGGTCCAATCCATGGCTAACCCGGTTTGATGTTTCATCACTGAGCTCCCTTGCTGCGTTGCCGAGTTTTCGGAGTAGGCATAATGTTGATTCATTGCTTCGTTTATCTGTGCATGATTCATCATTCAAAGCACACACCGAAACCTAAAACAAGAAAAATATGAATAAATAGATTCTTATAACAAAACAAACAAGTCCAAAGATGTTAAGGATATAAAGAAAACCCTAGCTATGGAAAAAGCAAAGTAAAAATAAAAGAGTGTGTTTATTTACCAAAAATAAATATAAAAACAAATCCAAGTGGAATCGGGAATCATACACCAATTTATTACCTTGCGGTAAAAGATAAAGTTTGATTTCTATATATAGCAAGAATTTCAGATTAAAAAAAAATATATAAAAGAATTTAGGATTTTTGTAGTTTTATTTGATGTTTGCTTATCTTATCTCTTGTAGTTGTAACAAAGTATTTTCCAATTGTTTGATAGTATAATTGATGTGAGCATGGATGCCGAAAAAATAAAAATTGATGTGAGTTGGGATTTTTTTTTTATATAACAAAGACATTGGTTTGGGCATTTTGTTCAAATATACTTAAATATGCGTATGAAACTCATAACGAATTGAATTAAGACAAACACAAGTTCTTTGTATTTTCTTTATCCTCTTATTTATCTTTTGAGTTTTTTTTCTTTCTTTTATTTTCTTTTTCTTATTTTTTTATCTTTTTCCACATGTATCTCCATTTATTTTCTTATTTATTATTCTTCGAGTTTTCTTATTTACATATTCTTCTTCTTCTTTTCCTCATCTTTTCCTTCGTATTCATCATCATCTTCAAATTTTATATCTTCTTTCTCTTATACATCTTTCGATTATTGTTTTCTTTATATTTTTCTTTCATCTTCATCATCGATTTTGACTTCTACTTCCCGTTTCTCTTCTTTGGATATTTCTTCTTTTTTGCATTTTCTTCTTCACCATCATTTTCATCTTCTCCGACTTTTATATTCTCTTTCTTCTTCTTCTTTCTTTTCCTTCTTTATCACCTCTGTCTTCTTTGTTCTCTCCGACTTCTTATTCTTCTGGTTTTTCTTCATTTTCACATTCTTCTATTATTTTACTCATCCTCTTCTCCAAATTCTTCACCTTCTCATCTTTTAAGGTCATCTTTTAAACTTCTTCTCTTCCATATATTCCCTTCTTCCATTTTGATTTCTTCTTTTCCGTCTTCCAATTTGTCATGTAAGGGTTTTTTCTCCAAATTTCATCATATATTAAATTTCTTCGTCTTATCCATCTTCTTTTCCTCTTTGGTTTGATATTTCTCTTTCTTAGTCTTTTCCTCGTATTTTGGACTTCTTCTTCATCGTCTTTGTCTTCAACTTATTCTTTTTTTTTATCGTTTACACCTTTTCAGACTTCTTATTCATCGTCTCTTTAATCATCTTCACCTTCTTCTACTTTGTCTTCTACAGAATTATCGGTGGATGTTGTGGATAAAAAAACATCATGATCTTTAGGGAAAGAAAGATTCAAAAGATAAAAGGATGTTTTAAATAGTATGTTCTTGGTGGGAATCATGTGGCGAAAATCATTGGAACTTGTACCACATATGATCTTTTTGCTATGGTGGATCAAAAAAAATTGGATTGATTTGATGCATGGATGAAAATTGAGAAGTTAGTAGTGATTCTAAATGTGTATTGCAATAGTAATTTTGTTTAATATTCATTTTTGAAATTTAAGTTTTTATTGCAAAGATACAACCGTCGGTTTAGACACAAGTGATAGTGATGCAGATAAAAACTTCTTCTCTGACCTTATGACATTAACAAAATGGTTGGACAAAAAAGTAACTATAAAATAGTCATGATATACAATGAAATATTTTACTATAACTTATTTTATATGTATATTTGGTGACAGCACATCAATGCTGTTATGTCTTTGTTAAGACGAATTGTCAGCTGTCCCATATCCATTTCGAAGTGAAAGATTGGTATTCATGGCTGTACCATTCACAATATTGATGAATAGCATCTATAGAGATTTCTCAAAAAAAAATCCAAAAATAATATGTTTGGAATAGTTTGGTTATCGATTACTTCAATTGTCTCTCACCTCGATGTGTAAAAATAGAGAAGAGATTTAGAGTAAATGTGGATGATGTTTATGTGGTTTTAAACGTAATCAACAATCATTGGAGTTTTTTTAAGATATCAAGGCATAAAATGTAAAGAATGATCAATGTTCTTTTTAAATTCAAATTTTTATTCATTTTTCAAGAAAACAAAACTAATATTATTAGTTTTTTTAAAAATGCATTTCTAAGTTGTCTTGGATATTTTGGTGATTTTAAATATCAAAAATGTTAGTTTTCAAAGTTTTTTAAAGATGGATTATTTTCAAAATGTATTCTTTTTTGATATATACTAAACCAAATCTCCCAAACTATATTAGCAAGTGGAATTAGAAAATTTGATTTTTTTGGGAGAGGTTTTTGAGCTTCCAAATTATTTTGATAAATATTGTAATGTTTTCTCAAATAATTCAATTTTTGCATGTTTTCAATTCAAAATAGCTTCAATATGGTAGTTAAAATTTTGATTTTTTTTTTATTAGTTTTTTTCAGTAGCACTGAGACCACTCTTTTTGTTATGATTTTCTCTGTCTTAAATCAATTTTAAAAATAACTATCTGAGTAATCTGATAGTAATATTAGATTTTGATAGTCATTAATTAATTATATGTTAACTAAAATTTAAGAGTGGTTAAAGATTTTGTTTGAGTTGTCAATGAACCCGCAAAAGAGACAGAAACAAAAAAACCTTGAAGAGTATGAAATATGATGCATTACATAGCACTAAAGTATTAGGTTTGATATTTTTTAGCCAACAAAAAAAAAATTGATTAGTTATCAGGCAACAAATAAAAATAGTTGAAGTATTTTTTTATGGATTTTTGTAACTATAGTTAAAGCAATTTATAATATCGTTTGATCCTAATGTTAAGTTGTAATAGAAAAATCTGAAAATTTTAATAGTTTGAGGTTTTAGTTGCAAAATTTTAATAGTTTGAGGTTATCTAAGACTGTCAAAAATTTGTATAGATTTCTGACAAATATTAAATTAGTCCAGTACTTTTAAGCTTTTTCCCCTATTAGGAAATAGAAAAAATTGAATTTTGAGCTTTCGTATTATTTTGATAAATATCGTAACTCTTCTTTAAATAATCTACACGGTTTTTTTTCATGTTTTCAACTCAAATAGCTCTAGTAACCAATATGGTCGCTAATATTTTAATAAATTTTTGCTTTTTTAATTGCATTTAAACCACTCTTATTGTTACCTTCGTTCTTGTTTTTTCCTAAAAAAAAAAATAAATAGATGTTGTCTTACTACTTTGGGTCATAGCTCGATCTGCTCATCTCTCTCCAAATCTTGTTTTTATTTCCTCCTTTTTCTCACTCTAGTTGCATCTTTTGGTAGATCAATTATTTCTAGGGTGGTGACGGTTTTGTTGTGGTGAATTTTTGGTTAAGCTTTAAGCGTTTTAGGTTTCTTTGTATAAATATATGTTATATTTGTATAAATATATGTTATATTTGTATAAATATATCTTATTTACTTTGAAATTTCTTATTTATAATGAGCATCTCCAATGGTCCTTCAATTTTACCTTTTCCTTCATTTTGAAGATAAAAATGAAAAAATGTTCTTCAATAGTGCTTCAAATTCACCTTCAAAAAATGAAGAAATGAACAGTGTTCCTTCATATTTGAATGAACACTGTTCATTTCTTCATTTTTTGAAGGTGAAATTTTTTATTTACAAAATGTATCTTTAAATTTCTACATGCTTTGTTTCATACTCAAACAAAACTTATATGTTTTTTTATCCAATTAATTTTAAAACTGTTAATTTTTTTAATTAAATTATAAAGTAAAAATACAGTAAACACAATAAAAAGATACAATAACATATATTATATAGAAAATACAAGAACATAGCCCACAACAAAATTAAAAATGCATAGTTAATACTGAATTATAAATAATAAACTTAACATAACATAAACTAACAACTTAATAATTTGGTAAATCACTTCCAAATCCATTAAGATGATTAAAATACTGTCTAAATGAAGTTGATGCTGAAGGAGGAGTTTGCTGATTTTGTTGTTGTTCAGCCATTTTCTGTAAAATTCGTGCTTGTTCAGCTTAAACATATGTACGGATATTCACATCTTGTATAGAATTTATGACTTGAAACAAAATTTTGTTTTCTTCTTTAAATTCTTTCAAAGCATAATTCTTACTTTGAATATCTAAATGGTGCTGTCTTTGGGAGCTGGTCTTCTTTAGTTGCTCCACAAGTTAACTATTTCCTTCTTCTAAAGTGTTGATAACAAGTGATGTTTGATCATCCTTTTTTCTTTTCAGCTTAGCTTTTCTCACTCCAATCGGTCGTTTAGATGCAGACTTACCAATAATGTCTTCATCATCATCTAAATTCAAAGAAAATAAAGGCAAACCTGAAGATGCTTGTGTACCAAAGTCTGGGGTTGGATTTTTCGACTCCGAAGATGCATACCCAAAACCACATGGATTTGGTACATTTCTAGCTGGAGTTTCACCATCTTTAAACTTCTCAAAATTCTTAATAATGCTCCACACATGATCAAATTTCCAACCTGCTTTGTATTTTGGATATTCCTCTAACATTATTTTGGCTTGATTAAACTACACATAATTAAAGAATTTATTAAAACTAATGTAAATGAATTAAGAAATCATATATTAATTATCACAAAAAATACTCACAATGTCATCATTTGAAGCACCACTTGGACGTCGATTTTCACATTGTCTGATGCATGCATGTAATTTTCTTGTTGCTTTTTCAATAGCTTGAATTCGACATTGGATGGATTTCTTTGACCGTTCACTCCAAGATGCATCTTTCCCATTCTCGTAGCCTTCTACCACACGAGACCAAAAATGATCGGATGACTGATAAACACCTGTGATAGGATTTTAAGAAATTTTCATATAAATTTAACATAAAATTTTATCTTCTCCTTGAGTATATCC